TTATAATAGCTTTCATAAGTTTGTATGCATGTTTCATAAAAATAATAAAGCATCGAAAATCCTTTAAGTTTTCGTGGCATCAACTTGATCCTCTGATCCTTGATCTGATCAGATTTTCGGGGTAATAATGTATTTTATAATACTTTAATATATACTAAATTTATAAATTATTATTTGTTTAGTATAAATTAAATAATTAAATATCTCAAATCACCAATAGGTATTTGTTGAACCTATAACCAGATTGTCCTTACTAGCTAATAATTATTTTAAAGTTGGCCCAAAACACTAACCACTTTGTTCAGCCACTACAGAGTTGTACATCGATTTTTTAAACGGTTCACGGCACCGAGATTATTATAATCATAAGCCCTTAGGAATTTTTCATCCTATCACAAAAGCCTTCAGCTCTGTAATTAAAAACGCTTTAGCCTTCGTATCATCTTCCAACATAAATGCTTGGCAATATATCTGTTCTTTGCCAAACGTATTATTTTGCGAATCTTGTTCCATTTCAGAAAAAATAATATCCAAGTTGTCATAAATTAAAAAAGGCGAGAGAAGTAAAATGATATTTGCCCCTGAGTATGAAATTGTATTTTGATTTCTTATATTGTATAATCAAAATCGGTAAAAAAAATTTCAACAGTTCCAACTTTTTTTTAACCCTAATGGACACGATTTCTAGGTTGCTTGACTTCCTTAGTAGATTTTCTGAATTTGAACGAAAATTTTGTGCACTTATCACCTTCTCGAGTTTTATCAAATGGCATTTAAATGTTTATGATTGATGTTTTTGAGAATTCTTTTTTGGAAGTTTAAACTTTGGCACCCCCACTCACATATTTTTAGCATTAAACATAAACTTCTTCGGATGTTGAAAATTATAGAAAAGGATGGCAAAAATCTGTAAATTTGATATACGTATTACAAAACCCTGTCAAGAGCATTACATTCGTCTGATTTCAAATTATGTTCTCTGGTCGTCCGTCCGTTGCTAAGCTTTGACATCCATTTCAGACGACCGGAGGAGCAGTTGAGTAATTAAAATCAATTGCCGGGAGCAAACGCTTCCACTTATGAGACCCCGTCACATATCTTAATGTATATGAATATGGTATGCCATACTTATACTTATGTGCCACTTATTTTGGAATCAGTTAAATTGACGCATGAATGCTGCATATATATAATATAATTCAAAATAAAAGAAAACGCATTTAAAACGGGAAGAGAATTGGAATAAATTAATTCAGGCGTGTTAATAATGGTTATGATTCTCTTTTATACATCTTTTAATTAGCTTTTCATGTTTATTAATAATTTACTTTATAGAGTTATATACATATTATCTGAACTCAAGATATAGAACCGATTCTGCCGCAATAACAGAAAAATGTTATGGCAAGGCCATGTTACGCTCCGACTTCCATACATTATGCTATTGAATTATACTGAATACTGTAAAAGTATTTGCTGTGCATTCGGGCCTTTTACACATAAACTGCAATCTCACTCGTAATGAAGCTGTATCTATATGACAACCTGAGACTTCACACCAACCACAGGGTTTTTATCAATATTTAGTATGGAAAGTTCTTCATAACATGGCCTTGCTATAACATTTTTCTGTTATGCGGCAGAATCGGTACCATAATATGTTATATGAGTACCCAGTAAATCGCAAAAATTAGCATAACGTAGCACAGAAGATACGTCGTTACGAAGTTGATGGTTACGTTAATAAAACGTACATATTACGTATAATTGTTACCTTTAATGGGTTGAATTTCAAAAAGTGTTATAAAAAAACGTCAAAAACTAACCATTGACAATTCAAAATTATCAATCGTCTTTAGACTGGATTTCTCCAAAAGCAAAATTATAAAATATAAAGACTCTACATTATTTCTTTTCGCCAACCAATTAAAAATGAACTTAAATTTCTTTTGCCAATGAAATTGAATTGCATGTTCATATTTTATTTAAATCTAACTTAAGAAATAGATTTTACCAAATAAGGGACCGATTCTGCCGCAATGTTATGATAAGTTCATGTTATGAAGAATTTTCCATAGTAATATAGACAAAAGATATGCGGTTGGTGTTCAGTCAGGCGAATTTCTCAGGTTTTCTCATACAAAACATAACCTAAAAGCCGCACAAATGTCAAAAAAACGATGTTAGATAAGTGTGTGTTTCTGATTCCTCTTAGGTAAGATACGAGTGACGTTGCAGTTTATGTTTAAAACGCCGGAATGAACAGCAAATAAATGATATTTTGACAGCATTCAGTATGATTCATTCGCATAATGTATGGGGAGTCGGAGCGTAACATAGCCATCCGTAACATTTCTCTGTTATGCGCAGAATCGGTCCATAAATCTTTATATTTCCAACAAGTTCTATATCAATATTGCGTAAATAATGAAACAAATGCAACAATTTGTCTTATAAAATTAATAATAGTACATGATTTCACAAACACAATGAAAATGATCCAATTTTCGTAGATATTAGAATTAATAAAGATTAATATCCAGTGCTAATTTTCCAAATTGAAAGTTTTTATTTAAAACTCTAAAAAATTTAAAAAAATAATTTATGAAGTGCTTAATAACTATATACACATTTATGCAATATGCATTAATTTTACAAATAAGTATGAGTATTTATTAATTATATATAAAGATAAAGATAATTACATATTATAGAGAAAAAATTAGAAGCTAGCGTAATTCATAAATTATGTAAAAAATAGCACTCCATTTATAAATTAACTATTTTTTATTTCTCTTTCAATTTCTTCAAATTGATAGATACAATAATATTCTTTGAGCTTTATTAATTTTTTACTTGATAAATGTAATAGGAGATATATTTTACCACTTCGTCTAATTATATTATTATCATTATTTTTTAATATGCAAATATTAAAAAAATTAGTGTGATAAGCCCGGATTACTATATAAAACCGCAGGAAATAATCTGGTATTAAGCAATATAAATTAATTCTGTAAAACAGTTTAAAGTGGATATAAATAATAAAATAAACTTTATCGCAAGTTGAATGACAACTATAACGAGTATAATAAGAAAATCATTCCTAGCAAAGAGCGATGAAAAGATTTATACTTTTATAATCACTTATATAAAAGCCATACGATGGTCACATAATGGGATAATTAATACATATTAATTTTGCAGAATAAATTCAAAGCTTCTAATAATAAAGAATGTTTGAATTTTTAATTTT